TCTGGAGTGGTAGCAGTTAGTAGTGGCTAGTAGTTGTAGTAGTAGTAGTAGTAGTAGTAGTAGTAGTAGTAGTAGTAGTAGTAGTAGTAGTAGTAGTAGTAGTAGTAGTAGGAGTAGTAGTAGGAGTAGTAGGAGTAGCAGGAGTAGTAGGAGTAGTAGGAGTAGCGGTAGCGGTAGCGGTAGCGGTAGCAGTGGTTTTAGCAGTAGCAGTAGCAGTAGCAGGAGCAGCAGCCGCAGCAGTGCATGGGTCTTGAAGCTGGGGCATCGTTTTTGGGCTTCCCTGCCCAATGGAGTCGAGCATCAATCAGACCAGGTCGTGTAGACTTTGGAGATTTTAGCGCACTACATCAATCGCCTGGAAGCTGGAATAGGCAATCAAAAGCGGAACATGAAGGTCAAATCGAGCAAGAACCTGGCGGTCTGCAAGTACCAGCTGTTCGACAGGGGTGCCCCCGAAGTCCTGAACGCAGAGAAACTCTTCGGAAACGATCGCGTCCGTGGCGGTCTGGGAGCATCAGAGCTGGGCGGTTTTCATGGTTCTCTGTCTTTGGCCTAAGCCCCTGCAAGCAACGTTGTTCAGGGTCCGTGGCGGGAGAACCGGAGCGCTTCGATGCTGGCGGTCACTTGTCTGGAAGCAAGGTTTGCAATCTGCTCCCCGCACTAAGACCTGAGAGCCGCAGGTTCTGTGCGATGGGTCGGCATCGGTGAGCTTCGCCGACCCGCGGGGCATCTTTGCAGAACATGCTTAGTAAGGCTGGCAAGGTGCTGTTCGTGTCAGGGCGCTGGTAGCAATCTCCGCATTCCCAGTAGGAGGAGGAAGAAGTGTAGGATCCTGCGAACAGCTGCGAACATACGCTCGGTCAGCGGAAGGTCACAAAGAAAACTGTCTCCGGTCGTAGCAAGTCTCTGATGTTGCGTCTACTCTCTGCAAAACCCCGCGCCCTATCTGAGGTAAGTGGAGCCGCAATTGGCCAGGCAGCGTTCCAATGAAGGTGCGGGTCGGGCCCACAGAACTGGCACTGCGTGTCTGCAGATTTCTGCCACAACCGAAGTGCAATGTCCAGCTGAAACGTGTGGCCGTAGCTTGATGGCCTCTTCTCCCGCACAAGCGGCGAAGGGCGAGCTCCTGGGCCTCGAGCCCAAGGCCGCGGCTTTCAGGGCCACTTCCCTTTTTCGTTCGTGAGAGGGTAGCCGGGCAGCCATGGGTAACCTCCACCGAGTGGTGTGATGCGGGGATAGCTTGGGCGGGCTGCAGACTTGCACTGCTACTGCAGGCCCCCTTTCACTGGCACAGCGAGGTCCATTGCAAGGAAGGCAGCTCGTCCGAAAGGGCAACTTCGGCCCCTGGACCCAAACCCTTTTGCCAAAGTAGTTGCGCAGGCGTTGCTTCAAACCACTTTAAAGCGGTTGGGTCAGGGACTGCTTGGAAAGCAGTGTGCTGGAGACTTTACCGAGGTGAAGCGATCTTAATCCCTGGGCCGCTCCGAGATGATTGGCCTAGACTTTGGCTTCGTTTTGGCTACTGTATCGTCCAGTCATATTGTGGCATTTTATCTTCGTTGCCTGATACTTCGCAGGGTTAGCTGGTCCTACTTTCCGAGCGCAAAGACTGTCAGACTTGCATCTGCTCGGAGAAGCAGAGGCATTGATCGACTGGCTGGATACCCTGATTCGATATGTGGCTTAGGTGGCTACGCTACAAACTCTCCAGCGCGGAGACTGTGCGAGCCTACGCTGCGTGGATGGCAATCATGTCCAATGCCACTTATGGCTGTGCTACGTTAAGCAGGACAAGCGCTTGCGTCGGTTTGCTAACGACAATGGCTTCTTGACGGGGTTTGTTTGGCCACTCTCCCATGGCAGATGCAGCCATGTGGTCTCAAAGCAAGCAAGCAGCGATTCTGCATTGTTGGTGTCTTGTGTGGCGTGTGCAGTTGCGGTGTCGTCTTAAGATGGCTGTGTGTGGGGGCATGCTCCATGCATACCGCATAAGTTCAGCACCCATGTGTGCCGGGGTGGTGGTTCACTAAATCACATTCGTAGGCCCGTGACTGGGCTGCAAAACAACGAGACATGCGACGGTATCGGGTGATCTCTAGATAACCAAGGTAGGCTCCCATGAAGATTAACCAGCGCCATCGTAAGCATCCCTTAATGGAATCTGCCGGCATCACTCACCATGCTCAGAGAATCTCAAGGGCCGATGCCGATGTGCAGCCTGAGCAAGAGCCGGAAAACTCATTGCGACAGAGCATCTCGCGGTTGCCCCGATTTGCCATTTCCCCTCAGATTCCCTGCAGCTCAGTCTTTAGCGGCTCTGCGCGGCAGTGCCGGGGCGCAAGCTGGAGCTCCCTTGGGCCAGCGGGCACCACGGCCGCCACCACTTTGCGTCGACGCGTCGACCTTCGCAGGTCCCGGCAGTTCCGTTACTTCGGCTGCACGGTCGTACTGGGGCCATGGTCTCTATGGTGGTGACTCCCAGCCTCCTGAAAGGCCCTTTACTTAGGCATCCGCAGGCTTTCCACCGCTTGACTTTGGGCCCAGCTATAGAAGGCTCCTCAGAATGTGCATGACTTCTGTTGATGTCTTTTTTCCTGTTGTGATTGTGGCCGTCAGTGCTGTATCATAGCTGACCTGCGAGAAGGTGTGTCGGTCAACCTGCTAGGAAGTTCTGACTTGCCCGGCATTCCAAAGACGACGTCATTCATTACCTACCTGATCTTACGTGTCATAAACATATCAGCAAGTAAAGAAATCAGCCTTTCTCCCTCTCTAAAGCATCTGGGAAAGCAAGGGTTCTGTACCAGCACTGAGGCTCACCACACCGAGCTCTAGCGATCGGAAAAAGCGCTCAGAGAGAGAGACAGAGAGCTACCAGTGGGTCAGTTTAAGTCATCGATCTTCCCGGTTTGCGGGTCCTCTCGAGGAACTGGTGGAGCGGCCAGTGACTATTTGCAGTCTGCCAAAACGAATGACTGTCTTCATGGTTCGGACCATGCTCAGCAGGCCGAGATTGCGATGGACAAGGCCCGCGCAAGCGTCCTGGCTTCCGTGACCAAGCAGTTCCCTCAGATGAAGTATATACATGTGCTGCATACGTATGAAGCTGTGGTTCTTCACAGGAGGTCTCAAGCTGCAGCGGCTGCAGTCATGCCCTGTGTGTCGAGTAGGCGTATTGGACCATCAGCTCGGTCTGTTCAAGATATTTCACCCAGAGCCCCTTCAGCCGACACCCAGGTGGGCTGCCGGTGATGAGAAGGGGAGCAAAAAGACTGCCAGGAGCTCTGATTCGGTGTCGTGGGAGTCCGACCCTGCATCTTCGACAGATCATCTTTCTCTGTGCTCGTTCCCGTCCGTGCTTCGCCCATAAGTGCCCCTGCATCGAGGTTTTCCAGAATTGGTCGCAGTTCACCAAGCAGAGCAAGATGCAGAAGAGAAATCGAGAGGCAACTTGGCAGCGGCTCTCCATGATCGGTACAAGCTCCGCCACGACTCGCGACTGGAGTCTTTATTGCCTTTGTCTCTAGCGTTTTTCAACGAACTTACAGTACAGCTTTGCATGACCAGTCCAGCTTTGATGGCGTGCGTAGGCTGTGAACGCGTCCTTGCGCAATGCCTTCATGGGCAAAGACAAGGCACGGGGCAGAAAGCAGTCCGGCGTGCTTCAGGGGCTATTGGAATATGATATGCTCTGTAAACGTTGCAGACCAGGCCGGAAGTCTACAACTGTTCTGGAACATCGGGAGGATCTTTCTAGTTAAGATTTTCGATGCATGCTTCTGCAGGCTGCCCTGCTCAATACGTTCAAGAGCTGGGTGGCCCTCACAAGAAGCCACAGCCTCGGCAGCTTTGGCTCGTGGTGGGAGGCTTTGGAGGAGGTGGAGCTCGGCCCCTGGGTTTTGGCTTTGGTCGGCTGGCCTCTTTCCCGAGAAAGCTCGGCATTTAGCTCCCAACTGACACAGGAAAAGACAGGTCTTGAGAAATAGAGGCGCCCTTCAAGACCTTGCGAAGCTGAAGCGGTGGTCTGTCGTCAGCCGGAACCACGGCTCCTCTTCTCACAGTCCAGTTTCACCCCAAGAACGAATTTTGCAAGGCACGAAACACATCGGCATCCACCATTTTCGCATTTGGCTGAAACATCAGCAACAATGTGCGTACTTGAAACGAATGCTGCTGCAAGATGCTCCTGGCTGAAATCTACTGTGCAGCAGGTTCAGCCCGTTTTTATAGTGAGCTGTTTCCGTGTTTCCATGTACTTTGCAGCCAACACGACGCTGTCGACACTACTTTTGATTGAGGCAGCAGTTGCTTTCTGTCGAAATCTTGCAACCAGCTCAGCTTGTTATCAATACTTCACAATGAAGGCAATCCCAATAGCATGCCGCCTCCTTTAATGCGTTCCTGGCAAAATGACGTTTTTGCATTAGGAAGTGCTATCCGCAGCGATGGCTGTGTGTTTACTGAATGTCAGCCGAGAGCTGATTGTCACTAAGCCAGGAAATCTCAAGCTTACCACCCGGCACCTAGCAGTAGCAGAGCGGTTCAAGAGCGCACACGGATAGCCCTCGAACTGAATTTTCACCGTGTTCAAACGGCAGACAGGTACCGTGTATTTTAAATGTATTTTACTTGGCAACGCGATAGCACGTCTTCGTATTGTTTCACTGGGGGCAAAGCACTCTTTGGTTCGAAAGCCAATGATTTTTATGTTCCATTGTTATCGAAAACGCTAGGAACGAAAAGAAAGCGTATCTGAAGATCACCGCTGTAGCACACGTTTCCAGGTAAAGACATGTTTTAGAGGTTCGTCCGGCACATGCTAACTTTTCGATCATCGCCGTACCGTTGCATGTGACGAAGAAACGACGCACACTTATGTTGTAAAAATTGTGATGCAGCGCCGTGGCTTTCTGGAGTTCTTCTGCCGCAACGAGTACATGATGATTACATGATGGTTGCGTTTATCTTATCTGTGTCCTTTTTTATTACCACTGTCTCTGTGATTGCAACTAAGACGAGCTGAAGCAGCCTAGGGCGTAGGTGGGTTGGCTTCTTTGGGGGCCCAAGCCGCCTCCTCGTGCTGGTGCTACTACTGTTGCTACTCCTACTACTACTACTAC